GTTTTTACGCATCAGCTTATGAGGTGAATCCCATTGATATCGATAGTATGCAGTACTTCGGTTTGAAAAAAGGTTTCTATCATCTCCATAAAGTGAATCGTTAAGATAGTCATGAGACTACTTCTTTACCCGTTTTGCTACAGCATGAATCTATCAGCGTTTTTGTGGTCAATATGGAACGGCGACTGAAACATCATTCGTCGCAATTTCTAAATTGTTGATATCCGCGCGCATTGCTTAACTGAAGCTACCTGACACTGTGTCAATCATCTTCCTCGTCAACCGGACATACACCAACCGTATTATCGGTCAACATGTTATTGAGATGTTTTGATGAGAATGTGCCAGACCGCCAGATTCACTTCGTGTTGTTCTTATTTAGTGCTGAATAGAGATTAAATAGGAAGCTTTTCTGTGGATCCCATTTTAGCCACATATTTATCGTCAGATAAACCTGTCAGATATTTGTCCAAAAATGTGACGATCTTCAGCAGACGTCGATATCGTTCGCTGGAGTACCGCGCACAATCTAGGAGAATCAATCTTACAATAAGCCTCTTCATCGCAGACTGTACAACGATCGAGCAAGTCGAATTTGAAAGGTGAATTGGGCAGTTTAGCAGCCCGTTAGTTAAAATATAGCTATTTTTTAAAGCTACGGCGATGACAACTATCTCTGTCAGGTGCACTTTTAGGGAATATGATAGTTTTCCAGTGCTACCAAGGGTATCAGTGAAAACAACGTTAAATTTTGTGTGGGCTTTTGATTGAATCCAAAACTTCGTTATGGATATTATTTGCGATAATTATAAGTTAACAATGATGATGTCATTTGTTGAAGGAAGTTGTGGTCATAACGTTCCTATTTTTCAAGGGAAAAGACTATTGGTTTTAGGTAACTCAAGTACTAGATGACAAAATGCAAAGTAAATTTAGTGGAAAGGTCCTTTGTTCACAACTACGTACTACCTCTAAGCCGAAGCTTTATCTGACACCATCCCGAAGTCGATCATGACGCAACGATTCCCATCCCAGCTTGGTTTGCTGTCTTGAATTTGCTCTTTCAAGCAGTCATCAACTGAATGCAGATACCGCTACATATCGGTATGTGGTCGCTAGACGAGGCGCTATATAAGTCGTGTCTTGAACACGACTTAGCTGCTCGAGGTGTTTACTGACAACACTCCCACTCGACTCGACAGCTGCAACGCCTCGTATCCCAAGCTTGGTACACAGAAACTCAAGTTGCGGAGACACAATTGGCTTTGTCATCATATCGGCTAGCATGTCTTGTGTGTGGCAGTACTTGGGATTGACTCGACCATCTCTAACCATTTCTCGTGCAAAGTGAAAGCGATTATCGGTATGTTTTGTGCGCTTAAAAAATTCTGTTCTTGGCCAACGCAATAGAGCCTTGATTATCTTCGAATATCTTGACAGACTCATTTAGAGTAATCTCACCAAGCTCGCACAGAAATTCCTTGAGCCATACCGCTTCTTGAGTGGCCTCTGATAGCGCCATATATTCCTCCTCAGTTGAGGAAAGTGCCACCCTTCGCTGCTTTTTACTTCGCCAGCTAATAAACCCATTGTTTAGTGTGAACATAGCCGCTTGTACTCTGGCGAGACTCGATATCGCCAGTCCAGTGCATCCGAATACCCAAGTAGCTTTGCCTGACCGCAACTTAAATGCTGATGTTTTTGCGCTTGCGTTATTTTTAGGTATCGCTGCACGCGCTTGAAAGCTTGCCAGTGCGTCGGACACAGGCCAGCGGCATATTGGCCTAGACCTCCCACTGCCGCAGCGAGATCTGGGCACGTCGCAACAACAAGATACATTATGCCACCAAAAAATCTTCGGTACGGCACATTTTTATCGTGTCTTCATGTCGGTATCCTCCTTGGCACATGTTCATCGTTAGCTTGAGTCCTGTATCTTGAGGCGTCTTGACGGGCTTGCTGTCTTGCTGTCTTGCTGTCTTGCCGTCTTGCATGCCAAACTTGCTCAGGATCGACTTAAGAAACTTGATTTGCCGCAACGTGACTTGACCATATACTTGATTTTGACCAATTTCCATTAGTGATTCCTAGAAAACCAGCGTGCTTCAACATGCAACGTGCGCACTCCACAAGCGTCCGGTTCATAAGCTCTGCAATCTCGTTGAGGTGTGGTGTATACGGTGGCGTATACTTTAGCACAATTTCTGTATTCAAGCAAAATTTGGCAATTGTTGCTGATGTATACTCACCACCGTTGTCACTACGAAGTGAATTTACGCGTTTGCCGGTCTGCTTTTCGGCGAACGCTACGAATTTTGCAAACTTGTCCACCTTTCTGAATTGTTCTTGATCAGATACACGACGCAATATCTGAGATTGTCGTCGATGAAAGTAAAAAAATAACGCTTGCCCCTAAAAGTTGAAGTCTTCACATGACCGCACACATCGCTGTGTATAACCTCCAAAAGCTTGCTTGCCCGATCCGTTGACGTTGATTGAAAACGTACACGAGTCTGCTTGC